CATAATAAAAAAAATAATAATATAATAATATGGCCGGTAAGGGGACTGCCGCCAGCAGTTTCAAACCCGCTACCGTAACGACGTAGACGGTACAGCCAGCAACGCAACGTCTGGCCTCGACCAAGTGGTTGAGCTACTGTTATTAACACCGAAGGAAAGTCAGTACGGCCAGCACACCTCCTGTTCATCCAGGCGTGGTTTTTGTCTCTCTTCCACGCCTGAGTTTAAACACTTTTAGGTAAACAATTATACCTACCTATCAAAAGAGAACACAATTACCCAGAAATGGAGAAAAAACAAAATGAAGCCTCGGAATGTAACGACGTAATCGGGACTCGACGCTATGCGACGAGGTCCGCGTCCGGCAGGGAGCGTAGGGGAAGGTCGCACCCGGTCGTCATCCAGCGAAAGCCCCCCACAGATAGTGTGAGAAGTAACTCGAATGACCCCATCCAACAGCTTCCTGGGGTCGAAGATGGCAATCATGTTGCTGGAAGCCAAGAGCCCCAGCCCATAATGCCAGACAATAGGAGGAGAAAAAGAACCACGTGGACCACTGAAATGAACAGATTTGTGGTTCGCTCCTACTACAGAATAACTAAACTAGAAACATCTACAGAGCCCTATGGTACTGAACTACACAGACAAGTTATCATGAACTTCCCTCACCTGCAAGGCAAAACTGTGCAAAACGTACTAGACCAGCGCCGATCGTATTCATAAACAACAGATTGCCGGCAGAGGAGATAAACAAAATAAGAGAAGAGATATCCATAGAATTAGGAATGCAGGTACAAGCTCCGCAAGAGCACACAGAAAACCAAGAACAAATTGAGATAAACGATGGCCAACCATCTAAATACGCAGATGAGTTCAGGGGCTTGTTCATGAAGTATGATGGTGTGGAACCAACTCTTAAACCAAGCCTACCAAAGCTAATAATAAAACCCCATACATCTGAGTATATCGCTGAAGTTAACAAAGTAATAGATAACGAGATTACAGAAGATACAACCTTGACTGAGCTCCATAGCCTGTTGTACATTGGAGCACTTACAGTCCTAAAATTAAATGAACAGAGAGTTGGCGAACAATGTGTAAGGAAAAACAGAAAACTGCCAGCCTGGGAGATGAGGATATCGCGTAATATAGAGGAGATTAGAAAGGACATAGCAATACTCACCCAGTACCGCAGGTCTGACTGTAGTCTGAGAGTAAAGAGATCCGCAGAGAATGTGATAAACCGTCACTGCTCGGAGGAGAACCCAACAGCCGTAGAAGTCTTGGACTACCTGAAGCAAAAACTAGCAGCTACAGCACTGCGACTTCGAAGGTACAAGAAAAGCAACGAACGCCGGAAACAAAATCGAGCATTCGAGACCAATCAGCGAGGCTTTTACAGGAACTTGCAGGCGCGACGGAGGGATACAGATCAGAACAACGTTCAGATTCCTACCTCAGATGCCATCAATACCTTCTGGTCAGGAATTTGGAGCAATCCAATCAATCATTCCACATCTAAATGGTACCGCCAAGAGAAAGCAAATAATTCAACTTTTAGGACCATGCTCGACTGGAAAGTAAGCTTAGATGACGTGGTAAATACTCTACGAAAATTACCAAACTGGAAAGCCCCAGGATCAGATAAGCTTCAGAATTATTGGCTAAAGACGTTCACTTCAGCTCACGATCGACTCGCAAAGTGTTACACCTCAATCTTAGAGCAACCAGATATGTTGCCAGAGTTCTTAACAATGGGAATAACATATTTAATCCCAAAGTGCGGCGATCACTCGAACGATCCGGCAAAATACCGACCAATCACCTGTCTGCCGACTATTTACAAGGTATTGACTGCTATAATTACTGAAAAGATATATTCACACCTAGAGCGGAATACTATACTAGACGAAGAGCAAAAAGGTTGCCGAAAAGGGTCTCGAGGCTGTAAAGAGCAACTTGTTATAGACTCTGTCATAACTAATTATGCCAAAAGAAAAAAATACCCCTGTACATTGCATACATCGATTATCAGAAAGCGTTTGACAGTATACCTCACTCTTGGCTGTTAGAGGTGCTTGACCTTTATGGGATCGAGTGCCACATCAAACAATTTCTGGCACATGCTATGGCGAATTGGAAGACACGGCTCTATCTCAACACCCAAGATACGCAATTCAGTGCCGGAGAGGTATCCATCAAGAGAGGAATATTTCAAGGAGACTCTTTAAGTCCGCTATGGTTCTGCTTAGCGCTTAGACCGTTAACAACAATGCTAAATAGCCAAAAGAAAGGAATACTGTTAGGTGGCAATGAAACACGCATTTCACATCTTTGGTACATGGACGACCTCAAACTTTTTGCAGAAACCAAAGAACATCTTCATAAGCTTCTGGACTGTGTAAGTAAATTCAGCACTGACATCAAGATGCTGTTTGGCTTAGACAAGTGCAAGATCAGTTGCATGGTAAAAGGCCAGTGGAGTAAACATTCAGGATATGAGCCGAACCAAGTGCAAGGGAAAATTGAAGGAATGCAGCAAGATGAACAGTATAAATACTTAGGCTATCTACAAGCGCCGGGCATAGACCAGAAAGCTGCAAAAGAAAAGGCAATGGAGCACTATAGAACACGTTTGAGGGCGGTGCTGAAGACAAGTCTGTCAGCTCGTAATACAGCACTTGCTGTCAGCACCTACGCTACTTCGGTCCTTACCTATACGTTTGGCATACTGAACTGGACGGATACAGAACTGAACGCACTTAATGTGGAAACCAGAAAAGAATTCCGTAAACACCGGGGACACCACCCACATAGTTCCATAGAGCGGTTCCATCTACCACGAAGTGAGGGTGGCAGAGGAATACCTTGCATACCTACACTACATCACCGCCAAGTGGACAATCTACGCCAGTACTTCCTCCAAAAAGCCACATCCAGCAGAATGCATCAAGCAATAACACAGACGGATAAAAAGTTGACACCACTAAACCTTTCAGAAAAATCTTTCGACCCTGAGGCAAAGATAACCCAATGCAGGATCTGGTTCGCCAATGGAAAGACAAACCACTACATGGTCGGTATAGGAGCCGCATAGAAGACAACGCCATTGACACGAAGGCTTCCCAAGGATGGTTGCAGTCAGGTAATCTGTTCCTGGAGACGGAGGGCTTCATAGCCTCCATCCAGGATCAGGTAGTCCCAACAAAGTTGTACCGAAAGCGTATAATGCATGAGAACGTTGACGATATCAGATGCCGCATATGTGGGGAAAAAGATGAGCACATAGATCATATTGTAGCAGGGTGCTCTCCCTTAGCTCCTAAACAATATCTTGAAAGGCACAATGATGTGGCCAAAATGCTTTATCAAGCTTTGGCTAAAAAGCATCTAGGAGAAACTGGTACACAGCCCTACTATAAATACACGCCGCCACCTGTGATAGAAACGGAGACCTCTAGGCTGTACTGGAACCTTAAAATCATAACTGACAGGCCCATCCCCAACAATATTCCTGACATAGTGCTCACACTAAAAGAAGAAAGAACGACGTTTATAATAGACATAGCTGTGCCTCTTCCTACTAATATCCAAACCACCCATGCGGAAAAAATCAATAAGTATTTGCCACTCTCCGACGAAATCAAACGCATGTGGGAAATGGGCAATGTGTCTATAATACCAGTTATAATAGGAGCTACTGGAGAGATACCAAGGAAACTACACAAGAGTCTGGAAAAGCTACAGCTCCATCCAAAAATATACTTGCAACTGCAAAAAGCTGCACTGCTGGGAACATGTAGGACAGTACGTAGGGTTTTAGGAGATGAGAACCGGATACGGTGAAAAGACCGCTGCAGATCTATTTCCTTACTTTGGCTAACCGCCTGAGGGAAATATTAATACCTTCGACAGAGGAGTAAAATAGTATATAATAATAATAATTATAATAATAATAATAATTATAATAGTAATAATAATTATAATAATAATCATAATAATAATACAATAATTATAATAATAATAACAACAATAATGATAATAATAATAATAATAATAATAATAATAATAATAATTATTATAATAATTATAATAATATTAATAATAATAAATACAATAATTATAATAATAATAATATTCCCCGCAGGGGGTATCTACTTTTGAAGCCGGATCTTTGATCCCGTTTCAAGAGAAGATACATGGGCAGCGTCGCCCCCACGGCCCCAGGCAGGGAGTTCGGGGTTTGGTAGTCTTACTAATTCTGCCAAACCCTGGACTTTTCCTTCCTCTTTTCTCCCATTCTTTCTCCTTTTATTATATCCTGTACAGCTGTTCGCTTTCCCTCGACTTTCCTCTCCTATCCTTACCCCATGCGTTGAGGCGGCGTGTGGAGCTTCCTCTTAGCCTCCCGGGTGTTTGTGCCGTGCCCGGCGACCCGTAAGCTGGCCAATGGAATCCTGGTGGTTGAGCCCTACCAGTCAGGGGGGCAACACGCCACTTTGGTCCGGCGGTCAGTCTAGAAGCGCGGCCACGCCTAGCCCAGCGTTGGTCAATCGGCTGCGCCATCCCGTCAGAGGGCTGGCTGGGCGAGCCTCCACAGGTAGTAGAAGCCAGACGAGGATGGTTTGCTATCCTCGATGTATGATGGAGCTATCTGTGGGGACTATACTTCCTTTGTTTCGACATTCACGGTATCCCTGGGGTTGTGTTCTAGCGGAAGGCGATAATGAGCACAATCTCCCGTTGAGGCTCCATGGAGGGTGGGGAGCCGAGGAAGTGAAGATCAGGATTTCGCATGGCAAACAAAACAAAAACCAAGGGTGTGCCTGCCCCCCTAAATGTAGGCAACGATGGCGAAGGTGGAGCTACATGTAGAGCTTCCACTGGATCGAACAATAATGTCAAGGAGACGGATGGGCCCGTCCCCCGGTTCCTTGTCATCAAGAGAGTTGATAATGATAATTTTGCAACAGTTAGTCCATTCCTTATTTCTAAGACCATAAATGGTATAATAGGAGACCCTAACTCTGTTAAAAAGATTAAAGCTGGCATATTGGTGGAAACAAAAACAGATGCCCAGTCTCACAGACTCATAAGAATACAGCATTTTACAGATATTCCTGTCACAGTAGAAGCCCACCCAACGCTAAATTCTAGCAAAGGGGTCGTGTACTGCAAAGACCTCTTAAATTGCCCTGAAAGTGAAATTCTCGAGGAACTGAAATCAGAAGGAGTAATACATGTACAGAGAATTAGAGTCAAGAGGGACAATGAACTGCGTGATACACCAAATCACATAATCACATTCAATTCCCCCAGATTACCATCGAAACTTAAATGCGCTATGTATAAACTTGATGTTCGGCAGTATATTCCCCCACCAGTACGCTGCTTTAGATGCCAACGGTACGGCCATACGTCATTGTCTTGCCAAAATGAACAGGTATGCATATGTGGAAAGGAGTTACACATGGGAAGACCATGTGATCGCCCGGTACAGTGCCTAAATTGTCACGGGCCTCACGTGGCTTCATCGAAGGAATGCCCAAGATACAAAACAGAATTGGCTATTCAGAAACTGATCGCTACTGACAAAATAAGTTATATTGAGGCCAAGAAAAAGGTGGTGGTGCATACTCCACAACCAAACGTGTCGTATGCACAAGCCACGCAAAAGAGCCAGGATGATGATATTATCGAAAAGATCATCCCACGTCTGACTAATATCATCCAATCTTCGATTTCTCAAGCACTGAAAGGCAAAGACTTCCATGAAATTGAGCAACCTCAATTCGTTACACCTCAGCCAAAAGTATCACATAGCTTGTCTCTTAGAAACCACAGCCAATCAGATGTCTCTAATCAATCAAAAAGAAAGGCATCCTCACCCGTTGATGGGTCAGATCTCTCTGATGCAAGTCTAACGTCATCTCAGACCGACGACCCAGAATCCAGAAAAGGCAAGCGCGGCTGGCCGAAGGGTAGACCCCGAAAGAGGGCTGCTCCAGCTCAAACCAAGCCAGATCAAATCAACGCAAGAACTAATACTGCGTCTTGTGGACAACCTAATGCTTCAAACCCACAATCTGGAGACAACCAGATTGGAAGCGAACCTAACTGTGATGAACCTGTGATAATAGATAGTTAAAATTTTAATATTTAATTCTATGTTAATTTATTCACCTTAATTTGATATTTGTTTACTTGTCCATGTATTTATATATTTATTTAATATTTACTTTTACATTATTTTCTAACTTTTGGGATAATTTCTCCATATTTTAATTGTAGGAGTTAAACTTTTTAGTACAATATGCAAAACATAAAGCAATGGAATTGCAATGGTTGTGTGTCTCATGTGAATGAACTTCGTGTGATGGTTAGGGAGAACGATCCTTTCTGTATTGCATTACAGGAAACCTACTTCCGTCCAGAGACATCTTTCTCTCTTAGAAACTACAATACTTACCGCAAGGATGTCATACCAGACCGCAGAGCACGAGGTGGTGTGGCCTTACTCGTAAAGCAGAATATCATAGCGCAGGAACAGAGACTGGATACGGAACTTCAAGCTGTCGCAGTTCGCATCACAACGCCATTTGCTGCTACATTGTGTAGCTTATACTTACCTGATGGCGATTGGCATATTGATGGGCGATTTTAATGCGCACTCACCTTTTTGGGGATCTATGCGCAGAGATATCCGGGGACGAACTATAAAGGAATACACTGATTCATCGAACTTAGTTCTATTGAACTCAGGATCTCCTACACACTTCGATATCAGAACAGCTGGATCCTCTGCTATAGATCTCTCACTATGCTCACCACAACTGGCTACTAGATTATCCTGGAAGGTCTTAGATGATCTCAATTTTAGTGATCACTTTCCAATCATCATAACAACGGATGTCCCCAAACTTTTCTATCCGTCACATAAAAGATGGTTGACTGCGAAAGCTGATTGGAACACATTTTCTGAGCACCTTCGTATCCCTCCTCTAACTGAAGACATTAATATAGCAGTGGACGATATCACACACGCTATAACAGATGCAGCAAAGATTAGCATTCCCATGACATCCGGGACCTCATCTAATAAAGCTGTGCCGTGGTGGAATGAAAACATTCAGAATGCAGTCAACGAGAAGAAAACCGCTCTGAATAGATTCAAGCGCAACCTAAACCATGGCCAACATGATCTCTTTCAAAAAACTACGTGCTAAAGCACGAAGGCTCATAAATGAGAGCCAAAAGAAATCATGGGAAACTTATGTCTCGTCCATAACTTCTGAAACACCTATCAAACAGATGTGGCAAAAGATCAATGTTATTGCAGGCAGGAATCCGTTTAGACCCCCAAGCGCTTTGAAGGTAGCTAATTCGGTAATCGAGGATGTTTCTTGCATATGCGACACGTTTGCAGACCAGTTTGAACACGCTAGCAGCAATGCAAATTATGATCCCAACTTTCAGCAGCTCAAACTAAATTCCGAAGCACAGGGAATCAATTTTGACACATCGGAACTACATCTATACAATGCACCATTCTCATATGAAGAACTCGAGTCTGCCTTAGAGAACTGTAAAGACTCTGCACCGGGTATAGATATGATACCTTACTGCATGATTCGAAACCTTCCAAGGTCTGTCAAAACTCAGTTACTACAGATATTCAATAATGCGTGGGTGCGAGGTATATACCCTGATGCCTGGAAGGTTGCCATTATAGTACCCATTCTCAAAGACGGTAAAGACCCTACTTCACCTAACAGCTATCGACCTGTGTCGCTAACCTGCTGCCTGGGAAAACTCTTTGAAAGAATGATAAGTCTTAGACTAGTATGGTACCTAGAACATAACCAGCTGATCTCAAACAATCAGGTCGGCTACAGGCAGTACCACTCCACGGTAGATGCACTCGTAAATCTTGAAAATGCAGTCTGGATGCATTCATTAAAAGGCAACACCTAACGGCAGTCATGTTTGACCTGGAAAAAGCGTTCGACATGACCTGGCGCTTTGGTATTCTGAAACAGCTCCACGAATGGGGTCTTCGTGGCAATCTCCCAAAACTTATCCAAAATTTCTTGTCTCATCGCTCATTCCGAGTCCAGGTCGGAGACTCTAGGTCCTCGACAAGGAGGTTGGAAAATGGCGTTCCACAAGGATCCGTTCTAAGTGTTTCACTATTCATCGTAGCCATTAACTTCCTGGTTGATAGCACTCCTCCGAACATTCAACCCCTCTTATATGTAGACGATCTCTGCATATTCTCCACCGCCGCAGTTGATGGAAACTTGGACCATCTGCAGGATGAAATAAACAGACTAGACTGTATAGCAAGGGATAGAGGGTATTCCTTTTCAACAACAAAATCGACGTGCATCCATTTTTGCAGACTTCGCACAGCACATCCGCAGGTCTCTCTCACACTGAGAGGACAAACTATAAAAGCTGAAAACTCTGTTAAGTTCCTGGGCATTATTTTTGACCACAAGCTCTACTGGAAGGATCAAATTGAACATCTCACAACTCGTTGTAGAAAATCCGTCAACCTGATCAAATGCATAGGAAATACCCGATGGGGTTCAGACCGCGAAGCTCTCATAAAGGTTTACAAGAGCCTAATCGAGTCTCGAATTGACTATGCCAGAGTTGTTTACAATTCTGCAAGACCATCCAAGATCAAGGCACTTGAAAGGATTCAACTGGCAGCCCTAAGAGCGGCTACAGGGGCTTTTCGTACGAGTCCTTCAAGTGCCGTCCTCTGTGATGCTGCAGCAATACCCTTACAATTAAGAGGTGAAATGCAAACTGCCATCTATATGACTAAAATAAAATCTCTTACCAGACATATTAATCTGAGTATATTGGAAAGCGATAACGAACATACAAATCGTCCAACGTATACACGTCCAGCCAGAATCCGTAGCCTTGAATTCCAACAAGCGAACAACATATCAATAAGGGATGTGCTGCAGAGAGCCCCATACGACACTCCACCTTGGACTAGGTCAAAGCCACATATTGATATTCGCCTTTCTGTATTTCTTAAAAATGAGACAGCACCCCAGGTGTATCTCGCTCGTTTCAAACAAATTACAGATCACCTCCACGATCATCTCTTCATATACTCGGATGGATCTAAGAGCAGTACCGGAGTGGGAGCATCAATAGTAGTTAACAGTGTTTGCCACATGTGGAGCCTGGATCCGATTTCAAGTATTTTCACTGCAGAATGTTATGCCACCTGGCAGGCACTTCTATTCTTTGCATTGTCATCTAGCTTAGCGTGTTCGATAGTATCAGACTCTCTGAGTGTGATCAGCTCCATAGGAAATAACTTCACCAAGGATGAAAGAATAAGTCGAATCTTGAACTTAACCAGCTCACTAGAAAATGACCATAAAAAAGTCCGTTTCATATGGGTACCTAGTCATGTGAATATTATCGGCAATGAATTGGCTGATGCAGCGGCAAAGCAAGCAGCCACCATGCCACCGGATGAAGGCATTCCTACTCCGCTATCTGACTATGTAAAACACTTAAAAGACACTACAAAACAAGCATGGCAGCACAAATGGGACCTATATGACGGACACATGAGATCCGTTCAGACAAGTATCGAAAAATGGACTTATCCGAAGCAACTGAATCGTCGGCAGCAGACAGTCTTATGCCGACTACGAATTGGCCATTGTAAGTTGACCCATGCGTACCTGTTGGCCGGCGATCACAGACCACAATGTCTAGCATGTCAAACAGACCTCACTGTTCAACACATTCTGGTGGAATGTCGACTCTACAGTGATCTCCGCAGGGAACTACAGATGTCTTCCAATATACAAACCCTGCTCAAAACGGAATGGCCAAAAGTTATGGATTTCCTGCTGCGCTCGGATACATACACCAAGATATAGATACTCCTATTTCGTTACGTCTCCAGCCACTTCCACATCAACATTTTACGACGCATTCTCACCTACATCCCATACCTATCTGGTCTTACCTTATTATCCTTGTATCATACTGGACAGCTCTGAAAAATAAAATGGTATACACGTGGATGTCACATCATTAGATAACTGAAGAGGCAGCTTAGCTATTAAAGATTCTCAGTCACATGCGGAGTAAATATTGAACTTGTCTGTATACTATACTTACTGTTATTTATACCATATATGTTTGTCCTGTGTCTTTCTATTTCCATCTCAGATCTACCCCTGAGATGTTAGGTTTGGAAAAAAAAAAAAATGACCTAATGAGGCAGGAGGGAAGCGGCTAATGACCTAGAAGTCGATGCCGCTGTGGGTTAAAAAAAAAATAATAATATTTATAATAGTAATAATTACAATAATTATAATAATAATAATAAAGATTAACGAGTAGAGTCAAATCAATACTTAAGACTCATCTGTCCGCAATACACAAAGTAAGGGCCATTAACACATGCTATTTCGACAATAACATGTAGCTTCGGAATAATCAAGTGGACAGACTCTGACTTAGAGCAGCTAAACAGAAACATAAGAGTCTTATTTACAAGTCATAGAGCAAGACATCCCAAGATTTCGATCGAAAGATTCTACTTGCCAAGATCCAAAGGGGGACGAGGCGTGATTGACCTTAAAGCAGCTAACCTGCGGAATATAGAAAACCTCAGGAGATTCTTTTATAGAAAGGGCGAAACATCTGCATATCACAGAAATATAGCTTCAGCTGACTACAAGTTCACACCACTGAACCTGTCGGATGAACAGTATGAACCTCTAACCCATGTGACCACCGACGAACAATGGTATCATCAATGGAAGTCCAAACAGCTTCATGGAAGACATCCAGCCATGCTCAGCTCAGATCACATTGATGCAGAAGCGTCACATGGATGGCTGAAGAGTGGGGAGCTATTTTCGGAAACTGAAGGTTTCATGATTGGCATTCAAGATCAGGTGATACCAACCTTAAACTATAGAAAATACATCATGAAAGAAGAAGGCATTGAAGATAGATGTCGTATATGCCATAACAAGTCGGAAACAATAGAGCATATCCTGACGAGCTGCACTCCCCTAGCTTCCACTGAGTATCTGAAGCGCCACGACAACGTGGCTAAAATAGTTCACCAAGAAATTTGTTATGCTGCGAACATACTAACTGACCGCACCCCATATTACAAGTACCAGCCGACTCCAGTTATAGAAACTAACAGCCATAAAATATACTGGAATAGAACAATTCAAACAGATCACACCATGGAATACAACAAACCAGATATCGTAGTTCAAGATAAAATGAAGCAAGTTACCTGCATAATTGACATTAGTGTGCCTGCCCCACATAACATAGCTGAGAAGCAGACAGAAAAGGTTCGCAAGTACTTACCACTAGCTGCAGAAGTAAAAACACTGTGGAATCAAGAAAAAGTTGAAGTCATCCCAATAGTGATCGGAGCCACAGTAGAAATACCTAAGAGTCTACATAAATATATTGAGAAACTAAATCTGCCGCAGAAACTATACCTTTAACTTCAGAAAGCTGCTATCTTAGGTAGTTGTCATATAGCACGCAAGGTCCTGAATGTAGCCACATAGACAAAGAGAAACCAATAGTCACACTCAGACGCTTGCAGTATAATGCCGCGTTTGAGGATACCACCTGCAGTAGCAGAGAATAGCTAACAGAAAACGGAATAATAATAATAATAATAATTATAATAACAATAATTATAATAATAATAATAATAATAATAATGATAATAATAATAATAATAATAATAATAATAATAATAATAATAATAATAATAATAATCATAGTAATAATCGCAATAGTAATCGTAATTTATTGTAATCGTAATTACATTTACTCTGTGTGTAAAGGAGCAGCTACTCCATTTTTAGCCTCATTCTGCATGAATCTGAATTCCGAGGCAACAATTTCTCGGCTTTGACCACTTAAAACTTTATTGGCAACTTTCTCGCCATTTTTCAGAACCTTCGAGTATAAATTAAAACAACCTATAGCTAACGCAATTAAAATTTTTACTGGAGCTGTACCCACGATACTACGTTGATCGCTGCTAGTTTGTACTGGGGTGACCCCACCCCACTACATTCCGCCGAGTCTACCGCGCATCTGACCTTCTGAGGCCAAGCTAGATTTGTCAAACCTGTAGCTGTGCTTTTCAAAAATAACCTTACTTTTTCCGCAACCGATTTTCGTTGTTCGAAACAAACATTTCATACTAATTGAATAAAGTCCCTATTATGTTATTTGAGGCATATGCCTTTTGTTCAGAGTTGTGAAGTATAAAAATTATTATATTATATATTATATAAAAATTACCCAAAGCTGTAATATATTTTTAAATACTATAAGACAAACTCCAAATCAAAACTTTCTTTTTTAAGGTGATCCATAGTGATCCCAGTCAGTAGCCAAGCTTCTGCAGATGCTGAGGAAGATCAGAGATGCAGCGGTTACTCATTTGAGGAGTGTAATATTTGAAGATCACACATGTTGGAATCTCCACATAACTTTTTGAACAGTGGAGCACTACAAAAAGTTCAGCCGCCGGTCTCAACCCATGAGGTCCAGAGAATTATCAGAAGTTCGGAGATTACTTGTGATGTACTCAAGAGCCACAGCTCTGAAGGATATTTGCAGACCATAACATTTGTAAGTCTTTATAATACTCAATAACCAGTGATGATTTATACTGCTCTTTGTCCAAAATAGTTTACATACTTCATTTTAAATCATTTATTCTTAGAGCAGCACGGCTGATATGCAAAGCTCACTATAATTTCAATGAAATCGAAGCCACATGTTATTGAACAATAACATGGGTGCCCACAGGGCGGTGTCAGATGGGCTGTGCTCTCTACTGTGAATCCACTTTGACTTTAAAACTTGCATATTTAGCATGGTGTTGTGTACAACTTTGAGAATTTTTTAGGATTTGTTGCCCCTGAGAAAATTGCTACCTCTGCTGATCAAAAAATTTTGGCGGCAGGTACAATTTCACAAAAAGTTATGTCTTGATGATGATCAGCACCCCTGAGAAAAACTGCTGTGGGTATCCATGGACAATAATATTATTTTTCCAATAAAAAAAAGAAATCTGAATTGTAGTAGCATATCAACACGGTTCAATTTTTTTTTAATTTTTTATTTATGCAGGTGCCAACAAAGGCTGGGGAATGGAAACATCTGGACTATAAAAATGTTGATACTGATTTGTTTGTAGAAAAATGTATGAGATTTATATAACAAATATATATTTAGGTATTTGCAGTATACATGATTGTTTTCTTCTAAATCTTTCCAGATTAGTAATTAGATATAAGTGATCTTATAACAGCTTGTGTTATTGACGTTGCTATTTTAACATCAAAAGAAAAAAAGCATTTATTCGTCAAGATAGCACAAAATGTTAATAACCCATGCTGTTATAATATCTCCCATATCCTACCAAATTTATATATACTTATACTATACTTCGAAGTTGAGTCATTTATTTTAACAGTGAGTAGATCTGATCAAAAGAAATGTTTTTTTCCTTTAACATTTTTGTGGTAAAATTAAAGTAACAAAGTTATAGCCCTTTAGAAGTTTGAGTACCGCCCTGTCTCAATAATAATATTATGTGCTCGTGTTTGGCAACAACGGATATACTCCGCCTTATCGGTTCATCGCATCGGAAACAAAAAGCGAAAGAATTTGAAACGCTGATCACGATGTTTTTATTCAGTCAATGTGTCAGTCGGTAACGCGTGAGTGAAAGTGGTGTTTGCTGCGTGGCTCAAACGAAATAAAAAATGGCACATGTTTATGCGGATCGGTTTCCCAATCGAGTACAACCAACCCCTCGTGCCTTTGTTAATGTAGTACAACGGGCTCGTGAAACAGGTGACTTAAGACCTCACAGGGGAGGGCATGCCGGTGCTCCAAGACCTCACGATCAAATACAGGTCCGCACTGAAATACTTGTCGGGAGGATACTTTATAAAACAAGGTAAAAATTTTTTTATTTTTACACACATATTTTGGTTTAACTTCAAAGTCATATATATATATATATATATGAGCAGAGGATGTTACCAGATTACATCCAGAAAGATGTGCTTTGGCATCGCATGTTAACAACACAGGTTACTCATGAATTATGGCAGTATTGAGGTTCTTGATAAAGAGAAAAGACTCTCAAAACGTTTATTTTTAGAAATGTCCCACATTTTCATGACATTTATTCCTAACCTGTTGAATTGCGAAAAGCTAGAACGGCTACATATCCAAATTGAACCAACATTTTCACAAAATTAGAATACATTTTCTCACTCACATTTTTAATATAAACTCACATAACCCATCTTTTCAAGGTTGTATCAATATCACACATTCTGCACTCATATGAACTACACACTTTTTCCAAAACAAGTTTTTTCAGCATTTTAGTAATTTTGGGTGGAGATTTACCGAGCGTCCCTCGTATACTTTATACCCAAAGTTGGACAGGGAGGTGTACATTTCCACGGTCCGTCGCGTCACTTGTCATCTGTCGACGCTTTACCTTTCCGTGCCTTCCTCCTCTCCACGTGTAGCGGTAGTAGAAGGTTAGGGACTGCATTCCGATTGTTTCAACAAAATGTCTCCCCACGTGTAATATTTTTAACTTGTTCGGGTGTAATGATATAATTTTAATTTTTTTAACTTTTAACGAAGGTATCTGTCGTTTTTCAACAAGCCCAATGTCCCCGTCCTTTTGTTTTTATACTGATCACAAGTTCGATCTTCTCTACGTTCGTTCTGAAACACATGTCCTGTTTTCTTTGCTTGCATCACAATTGTGTTTTCAGAATCCTGATGAAGGCTCCATAGAGAATGCCGAAAGCTTGATTGTATCGTCAAAAGAGTCAACTTA